GATCAGCTTATTAATGATACAAATGTCATGCTGAAAATACCAAAGCAAAAAAGTTGTACAATGCACCAGTATTTTCTACGTGAGCCCTTTACTCTATGCAAACCAATGAGCCTGGTTTATACATAAGCTTACACAGCCTCAAGAATGTTAATATCAGCACTTTATGCAGGCCAAGCCATAGTTATGAGTGTTCCATTAAGATATTATTTCACCATATTTGTTGTATGTTTGGAATTGTTTTGCTGGTAGTTGAATCTGCTCAGTAAATCATGTTCCTGAGGAAATAGCATTTTGTATTTTGCTATGAGATACAGTAAACCTAATATAATGTGTTACAAACTACTAGTTCAGATTTAGCATCCTATTGCATTATACTAAGAGTAAACACAACAAGGTGTGTCACAAACTACTCTAGTCATTACCTTGCTACTGATTACTCATAGTAAACAAAACTAGATGTTTGAGAAAGTTGCTTGGATGTTATATTTTACTACAGAGAACTAACAATAGATACTCTGATTTGTTACAAATTAATCCAGAGTTGGTATCACACTATACTCACGAGTAAACATTGTGGTACATTGCAGACAAGTTTGGAATCTGTATCTTGCTGCCTGTTACTCGCAATAAACAATGTGATGTATCAAAAACTTAGTTATAAACTTGTATCTACATGGTTCCCACAGTATGATGTGTCATAAAGTAACCTAGTACTTGTATCCTATTGCATGGTATTTGGTAAATGCAAGATATTTTACATTTGCCAATAAGGCTTTTTATTCAAATCGTAGCGCCGTGTCTTTAGATGTTCCTTCACATACTTTTAGTATATTGCTTCATTTAGGCTATTAATTTTTTATGTTTGTACATGCATTTCATATGACTGTTTTAGGAAGTGTTTCATCTACATGTAAGTTTTCAACTGGTGATGTGCTACCTTTCAAAGGATTGTAGCTGCTGTAATGATATTAATACACTTTTTCTTACTGAAAATTTTGTAATTGGTCAATGGAAAATAAAACTTTAAAAATATACACAAGTCTTTGATAGATTGCTTAGGCAGAGTATTCATGATGAAACTTTGAATGGATGGCAACTGCCTGTTGTAGAAACACAAGTGTAGATAACAATGTCTCGAAAGTATTCTGTCTGAAGCTAGAAGGCGAAAGGCTTTTGAAACGTCGTTCTCTACACTTGTGTTTCTACAACAGGCAGTTGCAGTCCATTCAGCTAAGTTTCATACACAAGTATATATATATATATATAATCTCATGTTTTATCATAATGTTTTAAATTGTATGCTTTATAGTTCACCATCCTAAACACTGAACACCTGATGTCATTCAAGCTATTTTATGTATTAGGATTAAAATATCAATCATTGGTAGACTAACAAATATGTTTTTGTTTTTTTTTAAGATTGCTACTGTGGAAAGAGTTTCAGAAAAGTAACTTGTACATTGGAGACAAACAAAATGAATAGTTTTTCCTGTGATGCACCTTGCGGTAAACAGTTGAGTTGTGGAAACCATTATTGTGATAAAACCTGCCATCCTGAAGCTTGTGGACCCTGCATGATGATGCCTGAAGTAGTCACTCACTGTCATTGTAATAAAACTCCACTTTCAGAATTAGAAATGGAAAATGTCAGAATAAAGTGTACAGATCCTGTACCATCATGTGGTCTGGTGTGTGATAAGATTCTTTCCTGTGGAACTAAAGGTATTGCCAGTTGTTAAAATTTTATAAGTTACTCCTTTACTTATTGATAGTATACAATTCCTATGCCTTTTAGCAAGTTTCTTAATTATATCATTGTTGTTTATTTTTACTTAAAGTCTTGAAAGGTGGAAGAAGAATCACATCATCAAGAACATGAGAGCTGTCCATTTTTAAAAGTTAAACATTTTGTTTAGGGCAAGTTACAAATATTAACAAATTTCATTACTGGCATAAACATAAAATCTACTGATATAAATATTTGAATATATATATATTTAAATGAACAAAAACAAGCCCAAACAAAAATTAAATTATAGAAACTGCATAAATTAAAAGGATTCCTAGGGTACAGGCTATAATGTGGGATATAAAATGTGCCCTGGGTTTTGGAGGTGACTGCGGAAGTAGGACCCATGTTGCAATGGGGATACACCATCTATCAGTCTTAACCTTTGTTCACCAGTTTCACATGAAGAAATTCATAGAAATAAAATAAAATCATCAAAAGAAATAGAAATTAGGAGAGTAAGATATGGGTGATCAAGCCCATAACTTTCCACATCTATATCATTCTTGACTGCCTGCAGACAGTTGTGGGAAGGTGACTGCTCTCCAAAATAAAAGAAGAAAAAATGAATAAGGTACTACCACTTGGGGGTAAGTTACATAAACTTACCTTCTGAGGTTGGCATTCCAGCCCCCACTATAGTAGTAAAGCACTAATTAGTAGCACAGTAGACAAATTATACTAGTATAGAATCCCAGCCAAGTTATCTAAACTAACTAATATAACCCCCAACCAACCCGCCATTAAGTCCATTGTAACAACCAATTTTTAGACTCCACACGAGCCTTTATATGTGATAAGGTGTTCATCCACATAAAAGTAGTGCCAAGTTGTTTAAATTACCTCATTAACAATTTAAAATACTTATCAGCAAAATCTCCTTAATTTTTATTTCTTGATATTTATTTAATACATTTTTATATTTATCACAGAATATTTTAATAATTTTATTTAGTTTCTTTATTAAATCCATTGAATACTAATTTTTGCATCAGTATTTCAACATCAATAATGAAATATTGTAATTTATTACAAATTTTGCAAAATCTTAATAATTGTGAAGCTATAATACTTATAATACAATTCGACCAACCTTGTAACCACAAAAAAAATTTAAATAAACATAAATTACCCTTCTTTTCTTTCTAGAATGACTTCAAATTGTAACCTGAAACTACATTCGTTTATCCTAAGTAGTTCTTAGTTCATAATATTATACATCTATTTATAATTAAATGTTTTTGTTTTATTGCCCTAATCACTTCTGCTATCCTAACTGCTATCCCCGCCATTATAAGTTGTAAATCACTCGGGGAACGTGCAGTTCAAGTGACGCTATCGAATTACATTATCCACGAACTTCTCGAATGCGTGCCTCGTGAACCATTTTAATTATATTATTATTATTACTTATTTTACCTAATCTAGTCTTAAATAACTTAAAAAGATCCATATTTTTAATTTTAGTTACTTTTATAATAATAAATAAAGAATAAATATGAAAAACAAGAAATAAAGTACTTACCCAATCTTCTTTTTTCTTGCCCTCGACTGTCGTGGGCAGTTAAGCCTGATTTCTTATATTAATTATATTAATGCACATAATAATTTTATTTAATTAAATAATGCACCAAAGAATACAGACTAATAAAATGCAAAAAGTAGGTAAATTGCCTTACCTCTCAAAATTTTTATGGCTTTGACAAGAGCCATTACAAATTCATCCAAGCTAGTTGTTAACTTTCCCATGCAAACAAATCTTGTAGTTTGAGTGAAATTGATGATATTCTGTTCAGAATACAATGTTATACAATACATCATTTGATAGATGAAAACCTTGACATTCTATTGGTTATAAGTAATATATATAATGAAACATAAGAGAGAACTATCAACAAATTGTGAAACAGAGGATGTGACAGGTGGGTGTAGTAGAAGGGGTCTGATTTTCTATAAATCTGCACCTAGAGTAAACCCTGATGGAGGAAACTGCAGATCAAATCCCCATCATTCTGAATATATTGAAATTGAGGAGAAGGAAAGTTGGCCAACCAGAGGCCCACTGTGTACGAGGGAACCCACAACACACAGAAAATGATTATAACATTCACACAGACAACAAGCCCTAGAAGCCACAAAATCTCAGGTTCTGTGTCAAAAATATTGTCCTTATCGTGAGACGAAGCAAAAATAGCCGTCACTTGAGAAGTTATAATGGCTAAGTAGGTAAAAAAACTTTAATGATAAAAGAAATCAGTGACACTGGAATGAATATTAAGTTTTTTTGAACTATCGCAAATATTATGCCAAGGAAAAGTATGGTGTTCTCAAGTATAAGAACATAGGGGAAGTTGCTGTGCATGGAGGTTGTGTTGCCTTCCTACTGATGGAGAGCTATTATTGTATGATAATGTCATCATGTACCAGAGCATTTCATATTAAATAGGTGAATTTGGGTGTAAGTTAGCCCAAAGCTAGTGCCATGCAAATCTGAAAGGGAAACGTGCGAGGGAAATAGCAATTCTGTGTATGGAGGTGAGTTATCATCTCGGAAGAAACTGTTTGTTCAAGATAAGAACTTATCAGATATGGTGCATTCTTAGCAACAAAAAGCAGATTTGAAATACAATTTGTAAACAAAATATGAAATTTACTTCAGCAGTGTAAGATGCCTGAGCTAGTAAAGAAATTAGGCCTTTCAAGCATAAAAAACAGTTTAAATGCGCACTTTGATCCACACCCATACACAAAGGGGTAATCTTCATCATGTTATGATAGTGATCTGTGCTAGCAAATAAAAACACTATTCTCAATAAACTTTGAAATATAAAACTGAAAGTCATTAGAAACCTTTCAGAAGAATTACCATCATCTACTTAAGCCTTCTTTCTTAGAGCACAACTGCAATAAAACTGTTTTGATTATTTACCAGAAAAAATTAGGTCAATCTGTGATGACAAGATTGTTCTTTAGCTGTAATAAACAAATTTCAAAATAAAAAATTATCTCTACAATTTTAACACATTTTTTATACAGAATAAAAAAAAATTAAAAAGGCATTACTGCTAAATGTAAGTTCACAATGTAATCTCTAAATAGTTTGTTTAGAAACAAAACATGGATTAATTTGTGAGGGCTTTTAATCATTAACTGATACATTATGATTATTGTATGAGTATATGAATATGCATCAAGGCTGTATACAACTTACTCTCTCACTGCAAAAACCAAAACCATATCTGCAACTATCACAGTTAATCGTTGATAAAAAATAGTCATCTGACTTGCATAGTTCATATTTGTGATTTCTAACATGGCTGTGTCAAACCACCTTGCAGCATGTGAAAGTACATATTCAAACCACGCAAAGAGGGGTGGATAGTCCAATGTCCATTCAGAGGTAGACTGAAACAAAAAACATTTCATAAAACTCAAATGTTTACATGTATCATTTGTTTAGGATACACTAATCTATATCATAAATAAGAATGGAATATGCATTTTGTAATAAAGATTAGAGATAAAGAAAATTAAAGGCAACATGCTAGATGCTTTTTTCTTACTTCAATTTTTAAATTTAGAAAACAGAAGATAATGTGATAATTTTTTATAATGCCACTAAAATATGATATGAGGCAAGTAATATTTCACACAACATACTAACAAATTTAAAACATATTAATACAGCTTTATTTGTTCAAAATACATTAATGCTTCTATTGAAAAAAAATTAGAAATGGGACAAAAATAGTCTGCCCCCAAACTATAAAGATAGTAATAAAATTAATACAAAAGCAATTAGCACCTCTTTCACTTGAGAAATACACTGTATAGTGATAATACGAAAGATAATAAAGATAGTAATAAAATTAATACAAAAGCAATTAACACCTCTTTCACTTGAGAAATACACTGTATAGTGATAATACGAAAAGTTTGCTAACTAACAGGTTAACACAACTGTATATAATTAAAATAAGATTCAGTGTTTGGGTGTGTGTGTCACATAATTCCTCCTAAACTGATGGTTCCACTAACTTCTAAGTGATACCAAATGAATCGTTTCAGTCCCGAGGTTTGAACAAAGATAAGATTCCCTTGGGGAACCTGAAGATTTCCAAAAAAACCCTTATCCTAAGCTGCTGGACTCACTAACTTCTAAGTGATGCCAAACAAATCATCTTGGCCCTGAGATTTGCAAAAAAGGTAAAACTTTTCACCCAACCCCTTAGGAAACCCAGGCATTGCAAAAGCACCATAATGTAGTCAATTAAACGAACTACAGCTGACTTAAGCAAAACAAATCTTTAGTTAACAGTTGCTATTTTGTGCAAATTCACAATAAACATAAATTTGTTGATTAATTAAACATAGTAATAAATAAACAACAAAATAGAACAAAGCAACACTAACAGTTTGATAACAAAAAATATGGACTTTTAACAATAACAAAACATTAAAAGAGTGTTATTATCAATCACATTTTGTGTTAACAACATTGTTGATCACTTAAACTAAACCTCTGAATAAAGGCATCATCCAAGTGACTAAATGATAACAGTAATAATTATAAATAAACAGCAAAACAGAATAAAATAACAGTAACATTTCAGTTAGAAAATAAATGTAGACCTTCAGCTATAACAGTGTGGCTGTTAAAAGCATCAAGTGTTTAAAGTTAACATTTTCCAATGCAGAAAATGTATTTCCAATAGATACCCCCTCTCACAGCTTTCCAGATTCAGTGCTGCCCTCTATACACAAATTGTTTCACTCACCATTATGGTTGAGACTCACCTAAACTAACGTGTTTTCATGTGATATTGCTGCATTGTTGCTTGCAATTGAGCATATCATAACCTTCTGTCAACATGAGTGCAACACTGCCTCCTAGTGCAACTAGTCCCCTCTATACTGATTCTTCAACGATCACTTCGAGATTAAACAAGACAGTAAAATATACTACAAGAACAAAGGGGGTGAAAGCACATTTGGTAGTCCGGAGGAGCACATCACCGTAAGACATTGCAACATATGACCATAAAAACACAGGTCAACACTAGATTTTAAATTAGGCATAGAGTATGGGCAGGGATCCCCTGTCTGATTTACTCATGATAGTCCATGAGATGGTACAGTCTGGATCAAGCCTTGTTTAAGAAAATAAGCACCATAAGAATACCTTGAGTAATCTTGCAGAACATCCCATCTCCTGGGTGAGTGCTATATCAGTCTGGGATGGCCCTACACTAAGTGGATTTGGCAAAAATATACCCTGGCAGACAACACTTGCCACTAAGCAGAGTCCTGTGAGGTATGAGAGGGCCCTGAAAAAACTGCAAAAAAAGAACAAACAGTGTGAGATGTTGAGAACAGCAACTGGAGGCAGTCCATAGCCTGATGAAGAAGAAATCTCTAAATGATGTAGACAGTGTGCAAAAAAGGTGCGAGGAGGATATCCACATGTCAGCCCAATCAATCTCCTCCAATGAATGATAGAAGTGAGCAATCAAAGAGTGATGAATGTGATAGCAGGACAGCTGGAAGTGCGAACACGTATCTCCCATCCAATGAAGAATATGCTGAGCTGATGGAGCCATCCAGTGAGAGTAAAATGAGAAAGATTATGAGTGGATGAATGATTCCACAGAATGAAAAGACATTATTGGGAACCACAAAAGGGAGAAGTGCAGACCAAATAACAACAGACCACATAGATAAGGCTAGAGGAGGCAATCAGGATCCATATGAGAATAAAAATGACATATGGAAGGGAGAGATATAGGTGTGAATGGACTAACATCCTTACGAGCTGCAGACATTTGATGGAAAACAACCTGGATAGAGAAGGATATAGGAGCAATGAAACAGAATGGGTGAAGAATCAATGATGTACACGCCAGAATGTTGATAATCACGGGCAAAAAAGGACGAGGAAATAAGTTTTAAAGGAGAGATGGTATAAGAAGCAGGAAGTTGAAGGTTCAAAGAGAGGAAGGGCACAAGGATGGAGAACAACATTAAGGTCCCAGATGGGAAGGCTAGAAGGTGAAATAGGAAAATCAGAATGTAGTTGAGAGAGAGACACCTCATAACCAGCAATAGTAAAAGGCAGATAAGCCTGGTTGAAGAGCCAAATTTAAAATTTTTTATGGCATCTAACTTCTAAGGAATATAAAAATATTAATTTGGAAGCACATTTCAATCATGTTCAATCTTTTGTCATCTGAGTGAAACCACAGTGTTAGGCTGAGATTTTTTATAATAAATTTTTAAGTATATATCATTTCAAAATGGAACTCATTTTTTCTCAATTCTAAGAATTATGTCACAAAGTTTGATCATATTTCTGTTATTCTCACTGTAGAATTTTAAAATGTCTATCTTAACTAATTTATTTAAATAGACCCCCTATCTATGTTTTACCTACATTAACATGTCACATCATTTAACTTACTCACCTCATAATACCATTTTGAAAAAGGAAGACTGTGCGTTACGGCTAACCAGTTTCGATGAACTTCGAAATCAGTTGACCGGCTGAAAAAAAAAAGGTTATAATGATTAAAGACAATATAGTAAATCTTACCATAAAACAGTCTATCATTCTTTCGTGATCTTTATATACAGGGAATAATTTGTCCTGTATTGCATTTCATTTTGTGGTTCAATTTGGCACTTTTTGTGATTCAATCATAGTCTTCTGTAGTATAAACACTTTAAAAACTTGTATTATGGTGAACACACCACCTTGTATTAAAAACTGAAAACATATCAAAATACTTAATATACTTAAAGGAATTGTGGCACTGACATTAATAAAAAAAGAGTAATTTAAATAAATAACTTTTTAAATGTCTGGAGGCCAAGTAGGATCTACAATAAGAAGGCAAAAATGTACAAATCTGATGGATGGGGTATAACAGTATCAACCAGCACTCTACCACTTGAGCAACCCAAATTGAGACTGAACTTGAATTCATTCTTTAAACTCAAGTCTTCAAGAGCAATTTTGACAATACAATTACAAGTATATTCTGTGCAACAGTCATGTAATTAATGGGGTTTTAGTTCAAAATAACTATGGGCCAATTCTGTGTAACACTAACAGATCAACTCTACATGACTTAGGAAAGAAAGGCATTAGAATTGTCATTTTTCATTTGCAAATAATGCTCATGCACTTATTCCCATGCATTATACAGAATTAAAATTTTTGAATATATATGATAATTGATATGCAGAATCAGTTCCTGTTAATGTTGTTATTGTTCTGCAGATTCCGTCTGGTTTGCACCCAATTATGCAGAACTGACTTGTTTGTACTACTAATAGCACTACTATTAGTAATAATACTACTCAGATTTGAATTTTAATAAATTGAACTATGTTGTAAGGCAAAATCAATCTATTACGCAAAACCAACCTGTACTTTTAGTTTTAACTTGATATGCAATGTTGACCTATTATGCAAAATTAACCCATTATAAAGAATAGGGCCTACATCCATATTTTAACTGGTTATGCACAATCAACAAATCTTTTAGGATCGGCCAGTTTTGCGACATGCACATCCCAGCCCTTCATGCATCAATTTCATTTCTTTTCTATAGGCCTAACCTAAGCCTGACCATTTACCAAATAATATCCTTCCTTTTCATTTTCACTTTAATCGGTATACAGTAACTAACATATAACTTAATGTTATCACAAAGTATATTGCACTATGAATGTCATTTAGTTTGATAATTTTCTACTTACTAAGTAGGAAGGAACAAGAATTTTATACAAGTGACAGATAATACAACAGACAAATATGTAGTCACCGGCATCGCCATTTTGTCTGCAGCAGCCAAGTTTAAACCTTTGTGACTGAAATAAACAATCTGTGAAAAGCAAAATATAGTAGTACCCCTCACTGACATACTAATAAGTTTAAATTTAAATTCACATTAAAGCAGTTTTGATTAAAAGAAGACAATTAAAGACATGGAAAGCTTGTATTTTATACAATGAACTAATAACTTTGTATAAGTAGATAGGATATTAATAATTTAACTCTCATTTTAATATTCCTTTCAGAAAGTAAAACCCACAGCTAAAAACCGGGTTTCAATATCCGCAAGGCTGACAAGAAAAGGGCAAGGGGGGCAGCTGCCTTGGAGCCCGGGATCTGTTCAGGGACCCGGCAGTAGGATATTCCAAAGTTCACCAGAAATGAAGACTACTTAAAGAGCTAAAATGGCTACTGCTTTTTCATGGATTCATGAAAAAACTAAATTTCCTTTATGAAAAATCAGCAAAAGTTAATAAATTGAATGAAAGGGGGATCGATGATATTACTGACCCCGGGGTCTGGGCTGGCTCTCGACGTCGCTTAATATCCGTGATGGGCAGAGCACAGATAGCCATTGTGTAGTTTTGTACTTGATTACAAACAAAAGAAAGTAAAAATAAGTATTAGAATTTACATAAAAATAAATATTAAAAATTATCTTTACAATTGACTTGCCTTTTTGTTTTGAATTTCGCGCAAATCTACACGAGGGCT